GAGTTCGAGGTTTTACCATGATGGCTTGACGAACTTGCTCCAGCTCCACAAGAGCTCACAGGTTTCACCAGTGTGAGACTTGTGAACCCGAACTAGTGAAGCAACGAAAGTGCAAAATGCCCCCTCCCGTCGCCTAACAGCGCCAAGCTGGCTACTTGTTTTGATACTTTCGCAAATTTCATTGCAGCATCGCCGCTGGAGGAAGAACGCCATCGCGAGGATTCTCGGCAGAGTGAAGTAGGAGAATTCAAGAACTTCGAGAAGAAAAAGGAAGTACCGCCAGTGGAGAGTGTGAAAGATTTAGAGCAAATACCTACTCGGATCAAGTACGTCGAGCAATTCTCATTACTGCTTCTCTCTTCTCCATCCATTTAGATCCATGTCGTTTATCCACTAAAGTAACCATGTATTGTGCGACACAGTTCGGTTTGGTGGGGCCATTTTAGTGGTTTCCATCGAACCTCTCAGCCCCTGTAAGCCGAAAGTCGCTTGTTATAGTTACGGTTACAATAGGTAGAGGTGATAATGGAACCGTCATTGCTCAACCCGCTACTCTGAATCAATTTGAGAAGCTGCAATTGTCAGGAATTTCAGGGTGAAAGGGAAGCGCAGGAGGGTATCTTAGCCCGTGGGATCTGGAAGCAAAGTTTGAATTAGTTGAGAGAAGTCGCAAGCAGTTTATTTAGGTGTTTAAGAATTGGAGTTTCTTGGCAGTCCTTAGGAAAAATCTCCCCCTCCCCCTTTCTCTTTTCACTGTTTACCAATGGAAATGTTTCAGTGATGACGAATCCGATGCAAATTTGTCGTCTCGAAGACGCTTTTCCAGTGGCGGTCACCTGCAAAGCTCAGCAGCGGCTGCCTTGATCATCAACAAGCCGCCCACTTTGGGTGATTCATATGGCTATTGGACTGCTTTTCTTTGATCTATAGGTTGTAAATAATTATAGTCTCGGATGCAGAGTCCATTCTAAACTCCCCTCGCTGCTCCGAAGGATTCCTGAAAGGCGCCGAGTCGGATGGAGACGTGCACCGTGTGACTGTACAGGGAAATGCACCGCGTCGCCATCGTAAACCAGCTTACAATGATGGTTGGTCACAAATCGTAGAAATTTTAAATTTCTTGGCTTCATTTCTGAACTCGCAATGTGTTATACTAATCTATGATGAACCTCGGAATTCTAGGGGATGAAAACCTCGGAATTTCTGAGAGCTTGAATTTTAGGCTTCGAGAATTTTGGATTTTCGAGAATTTTTTGGAAATTTAGTAACTCATTAGTTTTTTTTCAAGCTTTACATTTGAAAACTGCTCAGAGAAAGAATTTAGCTAAGTGTATCAATGAGATTTTCAGTTTATCGCTACATTTACGGTTATCAGTTAAGTGAAGAAATGCATGAAAAGTTATAGTAATTACCAACAAGTTACTGTTTAGATGGTACGATTCCTGGTGAACATGTGACGTACATTCATTTCCTCAGCGCTCGACAGAGAATCTTACAAAAGGTTGGTCCCAGTCCGGTAATCGAATGATGGGGCAAAGCTGAGCATCACCAAGTTCCGCCTCCTTGTTCCCGAATCGAATTCCGGATAAAATCGTGCTAAAGCTAACGGCATTTTACCTCTACGGGGTCGATCAATCGGTACCAGGTTCCTCCAAGGCAATCAAATCCTGACTCAAAGACAAACTGACACTCACTTCCGACGATGACCGTTGCTATGTGTGTGGAGAATGAACACTTTCTTCACTTGAGAGCACGCGGAAACAAAGCTGTGGTGTGGTGCTACCCTGGGTATTGTTCCGGGCTTCACACTCGCTATTTCCGAAGTATAGCACTTTCGTCAATACCGAAGTCCCACGAGAAACAAGAATTGGGCGCTGTCTGGCGACGGTAGGGGGGAGGGACATTTTGCCCTCCAACGACTTCCCAACGTGTCGACCCAGCCTCTTCTCGAGTTGACAGGTTTTACCATGATGGCTTGACGAGCTTGCTCCAGCTTCACAAGAGTTCACAGGTTTCACCAGAGTGAGACTTGTAAAACTAGTGAAGCAACGAAAGTGCAAAATGCCCCCCCCCGTCGGCAAGGTTGAGAATATTGTGAGGTAGAGAACAAGGAGGAGTGTGAGAGAGAGCACAGACAAATAGCGCGTTTGAGTAAGGTTAGATGTATGGCTTTTGGGGCGGCAGCGCGGGCGAAGTATGGAGACGGCAGCCGGGTATCACCACCCTCCAGCACCGTTCACATGCGCTTCCGAGGTGGAAAAACAGCACGCCACGCACTGTGGACCCACTCACCTCGCACATGACAAGGATCCTCTCGATGAGTGTACAGTTTGTCTTTATATAGCCACGGGAAGATGGAAGGCTTAGTTTGCCTGAGCCAGAGCCAGTCCGAGGTAGGATCCTCAAGCCGTGCACGCTGCGATATCCTTCGTATCTTTCCCACCCCCATCTTGAAGATGATATTAAGTACCTGGGTTATCGATGATCGGAGCGCATCGCTCCGTGATATTTTGTCGGGAGCGCAGGTACGTCCAGGAACAGGAAGAGATGCGCCCAGCTAAACTTTGTCCGCGGCTCAGGTCAATTCCTAGGAAAAAAGTAGCTCCTGAGCAATTTTTCCATCTAATAATTTCAAAAGTTTCTATGTGAGTAAATGGTTTGATTACAGGAGGTTGAAGATGCTGTTTCGCAGTTTAGCTTACAACTAAACACATGTGTGAAGGAAGCAGAATTTTTGTGTCGGCGTGCGATAATGTGGAAGCAGGTCGGTCGTTTAATAAATAAAAATGATTGTATTAGGTTATGGACATTTTTTATTGACAACTATAGGTACTGCTGCCGAAGACTGGACGGTCCGCTCAATCGACAGCAGGCTTAAGCAGCATTTTCCTTGGGTCCAACCCGAACAGGTCTCTTATTACTTATTTCTTATTTGTGATTCAAGCTAAAGTCTTGATTAGCCCTCCTGTCCTTATTTCCTCCCTTTTTTTTGTTCCTCGAGAGCCTGAGCGCGGATTAAGAAACTATGAATTACATGGCTCACAATAAGCTCGTAGCGCGGACTTTTCTCATCTCCGGCAGGATAGCATTTACAGTTTGCGACAACGACGATTTACTCTCGCGATTTAGGCTATCTTGTACTTGCGGCGGAGCGGATGGACTGATCTCCAAAGCGACCTCAGCGATGAGCTAACAAAAGTGATGACGGGCCCTGGTCATCGCAGAATCGCTTTAAGGCAGACTTTCGTAGGTGGCGTGGTGGATAAAGAGAATCTTGTTTATCTGATTGACTAGCTCGTGAAGAAAAAAGGAATGGACACCGTCGAGAAGGCCTCAAATAGGGCTCTACTCGTGCCACGGGAAAGGTAAACAATGGAAATGGTCTACGGACAACCTGAACTCAATCCCTTTGAACGCGTCGATCTTCTCTTTTTCTCTGCACTCTCTCGTCCGCATGGCACTCTATGGCCGTTGTGACTTCGCTCACTCCAGCTTTTCACCGACTATAAGTAGCTCACCCACCCCGGAGTCCCCTCCCCTTGAAAAATCCGTTTCCTGGCTCGCCATACGTTTTTTGCACGTTTCGATGCTTTGGCAGCCGCTGCCCTCTATCCGTCTGCGTCACAGGGTTTCGTAACAGGACCATGCACAAAAGTTCAAGATGTCCAATGGTAAACTATCCTAGGAGACAGAATTTGAGCCAAGTCTCAGAGTTCTGAGTCCACGAAGAAAAAATTCGGTCAGAGTGGCTGATTGGGGCAGTGAAGAGTAAATAGTGCCCTTTTTTCTGAATGTTTCCTCATTTTAGTGATCCTTACAATTTTATCCATAATTCCAGAAGCCTTGATCCATGGCACCAGTTGCGCTCAGTGTCTCATCATGAGACGATGGAACCGTCCAAATTGAAAACGCTGATATCAATAGTTAGTCAATACTACATGGAGAGTCGTGAGCCAAGGTGAGTTTCTTCCTTTTCTTGTTTTCGTGGTTGCATATACTATTTTTGTGATATTCTGTGATCAGTCACAGTGCGAACTGCTGAAGGTGCTGAGAAGTGTTGGACTTCTCGAGGAATAGCCATTTCAGGTTACGTGAACTGCTGGAAGGTTCGAATTGTGCTCGGCTATGTCGTTTTCTATTTGCCCGCTACGGTCCAGATCGATGTCGCTTTTTCGAGTATCCGAATTCAGCAGAAAAGGTTTGTTCAAATTTGACTTCGACTTTTGTACGGGAACAAATTCAGACGAAAGAAGCCCAGTTCATTTTCGCTATAAATCGGCTGATGGTGATTTACGAGAAACAGAGTATTCGTTGTGGGTAACGTCGTTGCTTTCACCCACGGTACCCACAGGTACCTGAAATACCAGCTGACCTTGTCCCGCCTGAGCAGCTCTGTGTTTCTGCAGCTGTTTTACCGTGGATTGGGCCTGTATTTTCGTATTATTTATTGGAATGTTTATTGTACAAGGAAAGTAGAGGTACTGTCAGCCCTGCACTAAGCTACAGCTACTGTATTGCTGTCGCTGGTGGGATGTACATGCATCTTTCAGATATAGTCCGATCGACCTTACCGAAAGGAGCAGGGCGTGTGCCACCGAACAAGGATTATGACGGAAATTTCAGTTTTCTTTGAAGTTCATTCTCTCCATTTTCAGTGCTTGATATTAACGAATCCGGACGTGGATGCGATGTTCCTGATAGAATGCGTCGGTGAGACCACTCCAACGCTCAGCGTGCTACTCAAAGAGGCGGATCTCGTCGAAGACACACAAGACGAATCGAAGCTGTTCCGGTATCTCCTTTTTTCGCTAACTTATAATATTTTGGGGAAAATACATCGATTCTGTCTCCTGTTCTTGTTTTGTTCTCTTATATGGGTTCAAGTTGTTCGAATCCCCAGGGCTTTTTTTGAAGGCGAATAGGTAGGACTTACGGTTGGAGATCGTTGGTAAAACGTAGGTCTCACCTTCGCCAACCGTACTCTGACTTTGGCGCTTTCGCGGTAATTTCAGTCCATATATCCTACCAGCTAGTAATCAATTTTTTACCAGTTGATACCACACCTTTGAGTGCTGCTGAAGCCGCGAAGAGAATGATTTGATCTAAACAATCAAGATATTTCACAACCTTATAACGAACACGACGATCGCTACTGGCATCCGCCGGCGTTGGCGCTAAAAATGAGCGCCACATTCGTGATCAGTGTGTTGAATAACATCCTTAGACGACGTTCCAACAAAACATTTGAGATTTTGGAGTTGTGGGTGCAATGCAAAATAGTTCTTTTGACGGTAGCAGCCTGGAAGGGAGGAGGGACAGGGGCAATTGCAAGCCCTTGTGAGCTTAGAAAGGTACGAGTTCCATTATGTACAGCTTACTTCACACGAGTGTACGGGTCTTTAAGAGAAGGTCTATACTGTTCTTGCTGCAGACGCTAGGGCGTGTCAGAGTACAGGGGGAGGGAGCGCAGATTAGCGCCTGCTCCTTCTCCACCGCAGTTGTCCCTTACCCTCAACAGCTGATGGAGAGGGAGCTGCGCAACGCAATACTGGTGGAGAACGGGCTGACGCTGCGCTAAACATGAGTCCCTGCCAACTGACACACCCCACGTCTGCAGCGAAAACGGCTTAGAAACTTTGCTAACTAGGGAAGTTCGCCAAATTACCATGGAACTTTGAATGGAGACCTGGGTAGATCGATAGAGTCTATAAGGTTATTTACAAATATAGAAAACTGCAACCTGCATTTCACAAGCAACTTATGAGCAGGTGAAGTTTGTAATGGTGCAGTAGGGTGGAGGCTTGGTGGGGAGCTGTAAAGCCTAAGCGAGAAATCGCATACTCGAATCGAGTCGTTGAACGTCGAACTTTACCACTGAACCACCACGACTTCGATTCCTTAGCTTAAACTAGTAACCACCAAGCCTCTACTACGGATACTTAATTTTTTACCTGCTCATAAGTTGCTTGTGAAATGCAGGTTGCAGTTTTGCTATCTATGTTTGTAAGTAACCTTACAAACTCTGTCGATTTATCCAGGTCAAAATTCAGTTCCACGGTAAGTTAGCGGATTTCCCTTGTGAGCACCCCCTCTTAGTTTTGCGAGAGTTTGCAAGTCTGCACTGATAGTACCCCTCCCCCCTAACCGACAACGGTGCAGCCCATATTGGCTGCCAGCCCTTTGAGAACCACATAAACGTGAAATGATGGTAAGGAATACAGAGAGTGTTTCATATGAAATCGGATTGAATGGTTTTTAAATTATAAATCGAGCATAATTACAGGCAACAACGGTTGGATACAGCTTTTGACGATTTGGTGGCATGTGTGACAGCATTTCTGTGGACGGATCTTTTGCAGAAACCTCCTGGAACTCACTAACTTCTTAGGATTTTTTTTAAATTGTAGATTTATTATACCAGCTGAACAGCTTCTCATCCTCCTGTCCTTGTTTTCGCTCTTAGCTTTGTTAGGTTGATATGCTAGAATATTCTTGTCAAAAAGGAAATCGACCGCTTGTCATTTTATATTGTTTGAGTTTACGCTTTCTTCTGCAGACACCATGTGTTAGCTGTTCGGGAGTGCATGAGATGATCTTATTGCGACACGTTTCAGTGAAGTAATAACGACTTCATATTGTAAATATTATTATTTGTCTTGCAAATGAAACTATAGGCTTGATGGTCTTATTAATGTTAGCGGGAGTTGTCCGTAAAAAATTTGTTCCATATCAGCGGAAGATTTATTTGCAAGGTACAATGATGATCCATAAAGGTAAGATATTATCAGCTGAAGAATTCTGGGTACTTTAGCAGAACTTCGTCCCGTGTCCAGTATGAGGTCTGAGCGCCCTTTCGCGTCACTGAGAGTGAGGCAATGGCTGAAGCTTTCTCGATAGCATCACGAATACAAAAGTCGTCACACGATGCATAAATACCACGGCGTTGGTTGTGGGCGATGAAGAAGCAATGAACCGCAGAAGCAGTCGCCTGCTCCCTGGAACACAAGAATTCAGCGTAAGGTGAGTTATCTGGACAACTTTACATAAGATGCTAGTAAAGCGCAGTGGGCATACTCCGCTAATAGTTTCCAATACGCTCAAAGACGAAGCGTGCTGCTCGTCAGTGTTCGCGCGCATATTGCACAGTTTGTGAAGAGAGTGTGAAACTGTTTGCGGGGCTATAGTGAGGCTCCCATAATGCAAAAGATTGCACAACGGGAGTTGAACCCGGGGTTCTGTACCGGTGGGAGGGTACAATGATCCGCTACCATTGGTCCACGAAGAATGCAGCATGCAGAGCCATGAATGCTTCCCGTCCCCCTCATCATGACGAAGCTTGACGTCTATAACAACATTCTCGACCATATTGCAGACTTTGAGAAGACGGAATGAAATTGTTCACAGAGGTAGAGAGGGGCTCCCATAATGCAAAAGATTTGCACCAACCGGGAGTTGAACCCGGGTCTGTACCGTGGGAGGGTACAATGATACGTAAACATTGGTGACGAAGAATCGCAGATGCAAGCACATGAAATGTCCCCCTTCTCCCTCACCCTGACGAAGCTTGCAGCTCATAACAACGTTCTCGACCATATTGCAGACTTTGAGAAGACGGAATGAAATTGTTCACGGGAGTGTAGATAGGCTCCCATAGTGCAAAAGATTTGCACCAACCGGGAGTTGAACCCGGGTCTGTACCGTGGGAGGTACATGATACAAAAATACCGGTTACAAACATTGTGCACGAAAGAATCGCAGCTGCAGGCATGAATGCTCCGTCCCCCTCACCCTGACTGAAGCTTGACGTCTATAACAACATTCTCGACCATATTGCAGACTTTGAGAAGACGGAATGAAATTGTTCACAGAGGTAGAGAGGGGCTCCCATAATGCAAAAGATTTGCACCAACCGGGAGTTGAACCCGGGTCTGTACCGTGGGAGGGTACAATGATACCGCTTACACTGGTGCCGAAAGAACGCAGATGCAAGAGCCATGAATGCTCCCCCTTCCCCCTCACCCTGACGAAGCTTGCAGCTCATAACAACGTTCTCGACCATATTGCAGACTTTGAGAAGACGGAATGAAATTGTTCACGGGAGTGTAGATAGGCTCCCATAGTGCAAAAGATTTGCACAACCGGGAGTTGAACCCGGGTCTGTACGTGGAGGTAAAATGATACCGTTTGACCATTGGTGCACGAAAGAAGTCGCAGCATGCAAGAGCATGATGCCTCCCTTCCCTTACCGACGAAGCGTTGCAGCTCATAACAAGTTTCGACATATTGCAGATTTGAGAAGACGGAATAAATTGTTACACAGGGAGTGTAAGATAGGCTCCATCGTGGCAAGGATTGCACGCAACCCGGGGAGTTGAACCGGTCTGTAGTGGGAGGGTAAATGCTACCGTACCATTGGTGCACAAGAATGCAGCATATGCAAGAGCCATGAATGTCCCTTCCCCCTCACCCTGAACGTAAGCTTGCAGTCACATAAACAACGTTTTCGACCAATATGTGGCAGACTTTTCCTCCCCAAATCCTATCCCGCAGCCTCATCGTGGCGTGGGGGTGAACGGTTTTGGACTGTTCCAAAAACGTACCAATGCGGAGGGTGCCACGTCAGAGCCTGGCGAGCTACGCGTGGTTAATTTTCTTCTCGCCGAAAACAGTAACAACTATGGGCCTCATTCCCCTGAAGCTGAGGGAACCACCGACAGGGCGACGTCGGCTGGACGCTCGGACCGAGTCTGCTAAATCAGCAAGGGCCAACGGAGTTTTGAGTCGCCCAGGATAGGATGAGATCTGTAACTTTTTCAATGCACGGACGCTTGCTTCGGAAGCTCACATCGAAGATCTGATGTTGCAAGCCAGGAAGATCAAGTACGACGTCATCGGACTGACCGAGACGAGGAGGCATCGCCCGCTACACGCCGTGTACGAGACTGGAGAAGAACTGTTCCTCGGAACATGCGACAGCAGAGGCGTTGGCGGTGTGGGCGTCCTCGTCAACACGCACTTGGCCATGAACATCGATTCGTACGAAAGTCTGACGACCCGAATCGGACGTTTGCGATTGAGAAGATGTGGTTCAACTCCAGCTTTGACAATCTTCGTCGCCTACGCACCCACAGCTACGACGAGGATGAGCTCGAAGCGTTCTATATGGAATTGGAGAAGTTCTACAAGGAAGATAAGAAAATCATTATTAAGGTCATCGTAGGTGATGTTGAATGAAGATCGGACGCAGAAAGAACGGTGAAAAACTCACTGAATCATCGGAACGGAGTGGAATGAGCAGGGTGGAAGGCTGTCTGAGTTTATCATGTCGACCCACACCATCCATGGTAACTCGCAGTTCCAGAAGCCCTACTCTCTACGCTGGACATGGGAGTCTCCTGGTGGACAATTCCATAACGAGATCGACCACATCATCTGCAATCGAAGGTTTTGCCTGACCGATGTCGCTGTTGTCCCTAAGTTCTACACGGGATCCGACCATCGTCTCCTTCGCGCAAGATTCCGCTTTTCGATGCGAGGAGAGAGAGCCGCAAAGTTCAAGAAGCGAAGCCCCAAGACCACCATCAACTGGGATTCACTTCTCTCGCTGGGCTGGGAGGATTCTGTCATTGACAACATCGACGAGGAATACGAAAGGCTTGTTGCACATCTTCACGACTGCGCCAAGAAGTCAGAGAGTTCAAGATTACCAGAGCGTCTATATGCTGGAAATCTCGGAGCTGATTCTGCCAACGTGGAGCGCAAGAGCGCAGGCAATTACCAGCTGACGTCTGAGCTTGCGAAGCTATGCAGAGAAGCGATAAAGGAAGACCTCAAGGAGAGAAGAGCAGCAGTACTGGTGGAAGCCGCAGAGGCTGGGAAGAGCGTACGCAACGCCCGCCGCGACTTCGCCAACTGTAAGACTAAGATGACCGCCCTCCGACTGCGGATGGAACACTCACCGCATCCACAAGCGGAGAAGGTCATCCACGATTTCTCGGATGTCTTTGGCAGCCACGTCCACCTGCAACCATACCGCTTGGAGCAGGATGGATATGTCGTTCCTGCAGTTCTCTCTTCCGAAGTCCGACACGCCATCTCGTCGGTGAAGAATCGTACGGCGGGTCCCGACAGGATCAGACCCGAACATCTGAAGAATCTTCCGCCAGTTCTTGTCAAAACTCTGGCTCGACTCTTCACGCGCTACCTGTCGGAATGCAAGGTACCCACCTCGTGGAAAACAGCAAGACTGTGTTGCTGTACAAGAAGGGAGATCTGTACGACATTGGCAATATCGCCCAATCTGCTGCTGCTGTAGTCTACAAACTCTTCACACGAGTCATCCTGAATAGATTGGCAGAACTAGACGAAGGACAGCCATGCGAGCAAGCAGGGTTTCGAAGAGGATTCAGCACGATCGATCACATCCACACGGTAACGAAGCTCATTGAAGTATCGCGAGAGTACAAGATGCCGTTATGTCTCACGTTTATCGACTTGAAGAAAGCCTTCGACTCCGTTGAGACAGAAGCGGTTATCGAAGCCCTGGGCAACCAGGGTATTCCTACTCAGTACATCAGGATTCTTCGTGAGCTCTACAGCAACTTAGACCAAGATTTCACCATTCTACAAGGAAGATATCATGATGTCAGAGAGGGGTCCGAACGGGCGAACACCATCTCGCCCAAGCTCTTCAGCGCCTCTCTCGAGAACGTCATGCGTCAACTGGAATGGGAAGACATGGGAGTGAAGATCGACGGTCGGCAACTACACCATCTCCGCTTTGCTGACGACATCGTTTTGATAAGCCAAACATCGAGCAAGCGGAACGAATGCTGGCTGAATTCGACTGCGCGTGTGGAAGAATCGGTCTACGGCTGAACCTAACGAAGACGATGTTCATGAGAAACGGATTGGTATCTGATGCCCATCGCTCAACGGAACGACCATCTAATGCTCTGACTATGTGTACCTAGGTCGTGAAATCAATATGATGAATGACCTAGCTCCAGTGAAGCAGGAGGAAGCGAGCGGCTTGGGGAGCCTTCAAGAACATCGAGGAGTAGCGAAGAAGACGAAGAAACCAAGCTCCGTGCCCACCTCTTCGATTCGGTCCTTCTGCTTGACGTGCGCCTCAGAGATTTGATCTACGAAAGCAGGATGAACATGCGGTCGGTGTTATTCAACGCGCCATCGAAAGGGCGATGCTCGGAGTTTCCCGCTACACGCAAGTGAGAGAGGGAATCCGGAGCTCCGCACTCCGCCAACGATCGAAGATCAGAGACGCCGCCGCATTTGCCAAGGTTTCGAAGATCAGGTGGGCCGGACACGTCATGCGTTTCGAGGACGACCGCTGGACCAGAGCGATCACCGACTGGATTCC